TGAAAAGCAACATGACGTAATAAGTTATTTTCAGTTTTCTCGTTACTAATTTCTTCCCTATCATCCAATGCTTCCTCATTACTGTCTGCTTTACAGGCATTCACCAGCTGCCACAAGAATGCAGAATACCAGCAGAAGCAGAGAAATAGCACGACCAAGTAAGGGCAAGTGTGACAGTGTCAATGATGGAGTCGGTGACACATTTGTGAACTACAAACAATAATAAATGCCAGCATCAGATTCCTGCAGATTAATATTTTTTTTTTAAATGAGATGCAAATGGCAAGAACTCTGCAAACATTACAGTTTACTTGTCCCTTTACTTGCTCTGTAAAGGGTGGTAAACCAGCCAAGTAGTAATACAAATGTTTAATTACCATTTCTGTTAATTAAACAGATGGCCATCACTGTATTCATATCATCATCTAGCACTGTCTCCAGGAACTCTGGCAAATTCAAGTGATTCTGTGTTTCAGCCTTACAAAAAAATACACCAAGAACATAAAAGTTTGAAAGCAGGAGTGAACAAATTACAGAAATGCTAATAGATTTTCCTCCCGAATTCCCTTCAGCCCTGTGTAATGAAGATTACAAATCAGGCTGAAGTCTTTATGAAGAGAGAAGAAAGCTGAGAAATTTTCAAGCCAAGGAGAACCACTGATTCTACAGTAGAAGTATTTCTCATACAAGGCCTGCAGTTTGAGTGCAGATCAAAGACATTGTTAGGGAGGATGAGAGCAGTGCAGAGTCCCTCAGGAGCTCCCCGTGGACACCCAGCAGGGCTTGCTGCAGCCCAGTTCTGTGGGGGCCAGCTGCCCCCTGGCGCTACGAGTCCGGCAGGGGCTGGCTGTGCGTCCCGCTCCTGGTCTTCAGCTGTGACTGGGCAATGTCAGCCAGCGCGCTCTGGATCTTCTCCAGCAGCATGTCCCCACGATAAACCACCTCTTCCAGACGGGCAGCTGCTTCGTGATTTTCTTCTTCCAATCGACGCAGGCTGGCAGCCTTTAAAATACAAGGGAGAAAAGGGAGGATCTTCAAATAGAATACAAAATTTGACTTTGCTACCGAAGGACAGTGACGCAACACACTGCTCCCTAGGAAGGAGAAAGATTCTCTCTTTAGCCCCCGAATTACATACAGATCACAGAATCACAGAATCGTAGTGGTTGGAAGGGACCTCAGAGATCATTGAGTCCAACCACCAAAAAAAAAAAAAAAAAAAA